GATTATAAAATACGGAGAATCTTTTTCCGACTTCAACCTAGGCTTTAGAAACTGGTTTGGCGGCGAAGGAAAAAATTATGGCAGCGCCAAAGTAAAAATTCTTGGCTGCAAAAAATTACTTCCTCCGTTCCTAAAAATACTTCCCACTTTTCTTTTTGGACCGTTCCCAAAAATTCTTCCCACTTTCCCTTTTTGGACAATTTGTGTGGCTCACATTCATTTTAACTTTTTCTCACACAACCACAACCACACATTTTCACTTTATTCCACTTTTTTAATAGGCGTGCCAAGTCAAACCCGGAAGAATTTTTAGCAATGGAGGTAGTAGTCAGTAATTTTTTCTCCAATCAAAAAGTCAATCATCATCACATCTCTTCTCCATCTGCGTTGGTCTGCCTAGCACTTCCCAGTAGGTTAGCTTCTCCTTCTAGACTCTGGTTATTGTATACGAATATACATTATACGAAGTATATATTATTTGTTTGGCCCTGCTTTCTACACCTTAGCTTGTTTTCATTGATTCAAATGTGTACACACCCTGTATTGTTTGGTTCCTTCTAGCTGCTTGCTTTTGGTATGATTGACGATAAGAGCACTGATTTAGTAGGTCAAAAGGCGATCTAGTGATTTTTTTTTTTACATATTTTACATGTGAAGTTAATTTCCAATCAAACAATGTAAAGAGTGTGCGTGTAATTTAAAAATAGATTACACACATAACCAAACAATGTATTTTTATTTTACATGCAAACTATTTTACCGTCCTAAACTTTGCATTCAATCATTTTGCATGTAAAGTTTTAATGTGTAAACTACCAAACGGGATCTACATTACTACTAGTACGTAATAGTGAAGGCGTGAAGTCATTATAATTCCTGGAATATGATAACAAGTTTTTTTCCTTACGTATGAGTTATGACTAGCAAGTTTTTTTTAAGAAAAAAAAAACTCACGTAATGTAATAGGTAGTGAATGACCAAAATTACATCAACTAAAAACGCGTTGATTGCAGGTATATTGGTTAAAGATTGACACTTCGGGCATAAGAAAGAATCAACAGTCTTTTTTTTTAATGGAAGTATGGAACAAAGTCTTTGATATATATAATGTAGAAGACACACACATTACACACATATGTATGTGTATGAATAGTAGGCTCATGGTAAATTCTAATGGGCATGATCCGACGCACGGAATCACATACTATGCATACGGTATATGATCATATATTCAAATCCGACCAGGGCCGTCTTGAGACATTTGGAGGCCCTAAATGGGGTTTTAATGGGGTTTTCTAAAACAAAATAATACGGAGTATACACTACAAAAAATAACAAAATTGACATGAATCTTTGACACGAATTCATCAAAATTCATAGGGAATTTGACACAAATGCATCAAATATGTGCTAAATGTCATGTTGACATCATTTTTTCATGAACTATTCCATGCCAAAAGTATGTTATATATGACTCGTGTCAAACTCGATCAATTCGCGCTAACTCCGTGTAAATACCATAATTCTCTTGTAGTGATATAAAGTTATAATATTAGATAAGTTTAATATTCAAAATGTAGCATGAACATCAAAAGAATAATTTTTTTAATATTGTTATAGAAAATTGCAATGTAGAAAACGTTTTTATCATATTGTGAAACACAGGATCTATATTGTCATTGAAAACAATATTGAGTGAAGAAGATCGATTTTTACGGGTTAAATTCCCCTTAACCTGTTACATATGATAAGGTTAGTATCAAAAATACTACCTCCGTCCCTAATTGTTGTTCCAAAATAAAGTGGCACACAGATTAAGAAAGTAGGAATTGTGTGGTGGAGAGTTGTGCAGAGGAGAGAGAAATGTTGTGAACCACAAATTCTTTGCCAAAAAGGGAAAGTGAACTTCTTTTTGGGACATCCCAAAAAGGAAATTTGGAACAACAATCCGGGAGTAAATCGTTAACCATATTGGGTGAATCATATTATGTTTCAAACATATCAATTTGTAAAAAGAACACAAACCTAACCAAAGAATTACTTTCTAAATAACGTCTACAGTCTACACAACGTAACTAAAATCAAAGAGATCAATTGTATAACTAAACAAATTTTCGTTTGATACAATTATTTAATCAAAAAAATCACCAACCAAATTAAATAACTATGCTGCCACTACAAAAAATCAGCCCGATTGTCAAGGATTTTGTCACGAACCGTAGTGTAAAAAATCTGTGACAAATCATTTTTGTCACAAATTTTGTCACAAATTTTGTCACGGCCGGAATCCGTGACAAAACGGGCGTGACAAAGTTTTGTCACGGAACCGGATCCGTGACAAGTAATTGTCACGGACTTATCACGGCCCAGATCCATGACAAAATTGTCACCAGAGCATTGTTGCCGGTCACAAATATTATCACGTCCGTGACAAATATTTAATATTTTTTTTAAAAAATATTTATTTAGAATTTATTTTTTAAAACAATTATTTTAAAAATAACGGACAAAACATTTGTCATGGAACAAATCCGCGACAAACATTATATATTTTTTTTAAAAAAAATTAATAAGTAAGCCCCAACTTAAATATTCGGGTGTTCAAGTGCAAATGTAACAAGCTCCCCAATTCCATCAAGAAAATTTGCTTTCATTCCGTACAATTCCGCATGTTTATCATACATCCAATTTTTGTTTTGTCTATACATTATGCCGGAATGTTATAATCAACAAGTCATATTGGTTAAAAACTATAAATTATAAATATTAGGAATAATTTGTTATGTTTAATATATTCAGTAATTAATATTTAGGAACATTAATATATTACATTTCGCTAAAGTTCACTAAAATTAACTAACGTTCAATTAATATTATTAATGAACTAAAAACTATACGTTAATGGCATTAATCATTAATATTATTAATTCATTCACAATATTTAGGAACATTGATATATTAAATTTCACTAAAATTTACTTAAACTAACTAACGTTCAATTAATATTATTAATTAACTACAAACAATCGTTAATGGCATTAATTCATGATACTAAAATTTTGAAAATCTAATAATACACAATAAACAATTCACTAAATTATATGAAATTCACAATAATAATTCACACTAAAGTAATGTTTCAATCCTAACTTAAATCCTTATAAATCCTAAATTAGGAGTTAACAATAATTGCTAATAAAAAAATCTAATAATTTTTTATAAACCCATTTGAATTAACTAATATTTAAATTACACAAATATTATAAAAAATTTTACAATTTACCTAATTTTAACTAAATACAACTTAACACTACGTTTAAACCTACGTTTAATTAATTTTAACTAAATTATTTTATAAACCTAAAAATTTAACTAATATTATCAAAAAATTAACTAATTTACCTAATTTTAACTTAATGCATCGATCACTACGTTTAAACCTATGTTTAACTAACTAAATATACGTTTAACTACTAATATAAACCTACGTTTAACTAATTCAACTAAATTATTTTATAAACCTAAAAATTTAACTACTTTATGACATCACTACTATACGTTTATAGTTAAATATATTGTTAATTAATTAACAACCTCACAATTTATATTACAATTATTTAAAACGAAACAATTAATTCTTAATAAAAAAGTACATAATTCGAATGTCATACATTATCTGCATAAACAGAGAAAATGACATAAGATAGATTACATCCTTCAATCTTTCAACAGATACTGTATTATATACTGTGACGGAGTTGAATTGGTATGGATCTGTTGAATGAATCTGTCCATGCATATATATAAAAAATTGTCACGGATGTTGTCACGGATTTGTTCGTGACAAACACTATCCGTACAAAATTACTAGTACAACTTAATTTTAAGCGTTGAAAATTTAATTTTTTTGTTGTCACGGATTTTGTAACGGATAAATCTGTGAAAAATTACCGGAACAAAAAAAATTGTGTCGGAAACAATTTCTAGCTGCCGGAATCCATTTCTCACGGATAAAATCCGTGACAAAGATTTGTCATAGAGTTTGTCCGTGACAAATTTATTTTTTGGCATCCATGACAAGTCCGTGACAAACTTGTCACGGACGAAATCCGCGACAATAATATGTGCCTATATATGCATTAAATAATACGGAGTAATGTAAAACAATTATTTTGTCTTCACTCGGTCACTAATCACTATGCATTATACCACAAAGTAAAACTCGCGGAATAGGGTTCTATGGACGTAGGGTAGGACCTTAAGATGGATTCATCTACAATCTTTTATTATACAAAGCCAAGAGAAAAAAAATGAACAGTGTTCCCGCCTAAAAGCATTACAAAACTGGGTCGGGTCAACATGGGTGCGGAAATGGGTCTTGGGTAGGCCCACTGCTGCTCTTTAATGTTGGTAGCTCAAAACATGTGGGAAATTAATCAGTACAGAGCATTAAATAAGAGTTGTACGTTTTCATAAGAGAGATCACAAATACAATCCTTTTGCAAGTCTTGAGCCACAAAAACATTAAATTCTTTGAACTACTGAATGGTGCATTTCGTATCTCTCACGAGAGAAAGAACAAGAGTTGTTGAGATGATTAAAAAAATGAAGCAAATTGTACTTCAAATCTTAAAAGCAATTCTTGAGCCTCACAACCATTCAATGCATTGTACCATCTTGCCAAAACTAAATTAATTTTGTACTACAAAATATTAATGTTGAGATTGAGTGGGATGGTGCATTTCGTATCTCTCACAAAAGAAGAAAAAAGAGTTGTTGTGATGTTTTAAAAAAATGAAGTAAATTTTACTTCAAATCTTAAAAGCAATCTTGAGCCACACAACCATTTAATGCATTGTACAATCTTGCCAAAACTATATTAATTTTGTACTACAAACTATTAATGTTCAGATTGAGTGGGATTTTTTAACCTTTGGTTAACCACAGCTTACCTCCATCCATCCAATATAAATAGCCAAGCAAGGGATGGCCACAACACACCACAAACCAGCATTCGGCATTCATACAAAAATCAGAGCAATGGTAGCAGGTTCATCAACAACAGGAATGTGGTCCTTGGTCAAGGATATCGATCACACTAAGTACACCTGGGCAATCCAGGTTCGGGTGGTTAGGGCATACGAGGTTCCTCCGCACTCCAAGGGAGGGGAGACTCTTGAAATGATTTTGCATGACGGAGAGGTATGGTTTGTAAGATCTAACTCCTATATTGTAAATTGTTTAAATTTTTTTATAACTGTTAATGTCTTACTAGGGTGATCGGATTCACGCCATAATCAAGAGGCCGCAGATAGCTATGTACAGGCCTATGATAACGGAGAACAAAATTTATGCCATAAGAAACTTTTTGGTGCTTGACAATTACCAAACGGTGAAGACTACAAGTCATCCCTACCTAATTCAGTTCATCTCGAAAACCCAATTCAGGGAAGATACGAGGACAGAACTGCCTATGATGGTCTATGATTTCCAGCCTTTTGACATGTTGCACGCCCAAATGGTTATCAATGACAAGAGTCTCATTGGTGAGTTAAAAAATAAAATTGCATTCCTCACTACATTGCTTAAGCAATTGTCCTAATTACAGTTTCTATCGATGAGTAATGCAGATATCATTGGGAAGGTACTGAGCAAGAGCCTTATTCAGACCCATATAATCAACGGGAGTACTGATAGGCTCATGGAGCTGACTTTGACAGACCCGAAATAAGTTTCTGTCAACTTAGAAGATTTTGGCACAAGAAAAACCACGTACGATTATTGACTGAAGCTTTTTAAAACTACAGGGGTAACAGATTGGGTTGCGTATTGTGGAACAAGTACATAAACCGGTATTTGGATTATGTTAATGCTAATGAAGGAGTGCCTGTCTTTGTGATATTTCAGCTTTGTAGACCAAAGAGATATACCAAGGTTTGAGAAACATAGCGGCATTCATTTTAGCAAAAAAACCAGTAACAAGAACTTAACTGAATGCTATTTTAAACGTAGGGATCTTGACTGTGAATTCCTCCTTTGATGTGCCAAATCTCATCATAAACGGGAACACTACTGAGTTCCTAGAGTTCCAAAACGAGTACGTGAAATTTTTTATTTGAAAGTTCATAACAAATCTCCTAAAAACTAACATCCCAATACAAACCAATGAACACAGGTTTCCAGCTGATGGTGATGACACCATGACTCAAACCTGCAACACTCAGTGCTCACAAGTGGATGGGAGGGACGATATACTCAGTGGAAATGATGTCATTACCACCATGGAAGATTTGATGAATGCAACTGAGGTGAGTCCTAAAACTTAGAAGTTGTTATAGTTGTGGAATTTTCTATGGTAATATGCCCACTACTAACAAAAAATTTGTACCTGAGCGGGAGAATGTTTACTGGGTACTTGCTGAGATAGCTTGTATAGAAAACTTTCGTGAATGGTGCTGCCTTAGTTTCCCAACATGCCACAAAAAATTGCATCCTAAAGAGGACAGGTTTTGGTGTACAGCTTGCAGCATGATCCTGGCAGAAGGAGTTTATCGGTTCATTACTTTACCTAATGTGTTCTAATGATTGTAGGCTGTCTAGGTTTTCATTTTGATAAAAAACCATTGTTACTCTCTAATAAATTAGCTACAAGATCAGCGTGTGTATTATGCACAACACTGGGCATGGCAACTTTATCATATGGGACAAGGAATGCATAGAAATTCTGGGTAAAGCTTCTGCAAGTCTTAAAGTCGAGGTTGAGCAGGTAACAATATAATTTGTGGGCTGTGTTTACTTTTATGAGACCTAAAATTGATTTTGGGTTTAACTACATAACTTGGATTTTAACATAGAAAACTGGGGATCCAACTCGCTTTTCGAAAGACATCGAAAGTTTGGTTGACAAAAAGGGAATCTTCAAAATACAGCTAAGGAAGAAGAAAGCTGAGGAAAATGCCTACAGTGATGGAATTTCTCTAGGGGTGGTTAGCATCATACGAGATACTAATGTTCTCGCAATGTATGAGCAGAAGGAGCACTTAGAAATTAATGAATGTGATGAGCGTACACCAGAAAAGGTATTTAGAAAAAGTAATATTTTGCATCTTGAATTTAAAAATTTAAATAAATATGACAACTAAATGTGTAATATTTTGTTCCGGATTGATTCAAATGCCAATTTGGGAGAGACCTCCAACAGAGAGAAATCCATTGTCACAAAGGGCAAGGGGAAACGAATTTCAGCAGAGAAGGAGGTAAACGCTCGACAACTAACATGCCTATAATATTTTCCTTACGAAATTCTGAATATGGATCACTAAACGGGTAGTAATGCTAGATTTCTGCACCTATTAAGCTCCCAGACTCACCTACAGCTTCTACCCAAAGGGAGGTCAACGTTGAATTGAATGGTGAGATCAAAAGAAACTTGAATGATGAATTTTCAAGCAGTGAGAATGGCAAGAAGCTGAAGATCAAAATTAAGCAGGAACCGCTCTAAAGCGGGTTCATACCCAGGATAACATTGCATGATATTTTGTTGGCACCGACAGTGGTGTTTATTATTGAATGAAAACAGTTTCATAGGCAGTATGTATGCTTTCACTTTTTGGGAGTACTGAAAACTGTTTAACAGACCTTTAAACACTACATTATGACTATTGTGTGGTGTGCTATTTTTTTTAAACTATGTGTTGGAAGATCCTTATCTATATATTTGGGCAGATTTGTAGGATTTCAGAGAAGAATATTCCTACACCATTTAGGGACGTCTAGCCACCTAATTTCTTTGTATTTTTTAAACAAAATTTGTATTAACACTAACGCACTAATAAATATTTTGCCGGTTGATGAAAAAGTGGTGGGCTAAGGCAAATGCTACCAATGGTTTGAGAAGATGGCGTAACTGCAAGATGAGGGCACAGCTCGAAGGGAATGGAGTTCGTCCTAAGGGATGATATTTTAGAAGCATTCAATGTTAAAATCGTACCTTTGACATCCCCTGAAGCAATGCTAAAATTTCAAATACAAAATAAGGATTTCACTCCATTTTTTGGGAAAGACAATATGTAAAAAAATAATATCTGCCCAAAATGTCATTGAAGTGTATGTATTTTGAAAATATCTTCAAAAATAGAACCACGTCTAACAAATAAATATCTGTACAGATGTCAAAAACTTGAATATAATAGAAATTTAACCAACATTTTATAGGAGCAACTGTGTTAAAGTTAATTGCTTATGTGACGAAAAGGGGATTTTTGTTTCATTTGGTATGGAAAGATATATTTAGCATGTATAAAAACATTTGAGAGGTACATGGTTCTACTTAACATTTGGGCATGTGTATTTTGGCCATAATTATGTAGCCCAAGTATTTTGGGTTTCAAATACCTGAGTTTTCCAAAGGCCTTACCCTTGACATAAATAAATTAAATTAAATTTAATCAATACATATCACATTTCGAATTCACTTAAAAATTAAGGAATACTAAAAAATATGAACCCACATTTCAAATTCACTTAAAAATTTAATCAATACATATCACTTAAAGGTAATCATGACATATGAACAAAACTGTTTATTAAGTACAATGGTTAGTAGGGTTGAAATAGTAAGGGGCAATCATTTATTGTAAATCACTTGAGTAGCACTACTCAAAAATATCAATACACCAGAGTGTATTAATTGTAGGATGGAATTGAATGAAGATGTACAACAAATATTATAAAATATTCCGGAAAGGTAACTTACCAATGGTCAAAAGCCAAAATTGTAAAATGAGTGGATATATAACTCCCAATGCATTTACTCCATGCTCAGAAACTCATTTATGAGCTCAACCGAAAATTCTTACAACTGAAACTGTGAGAAAGGCTCAAGAATCACTATGACCAGTGCAATTCACTGTGAAGAAAAGGTATGTTTCAAAACTCATTATTGACAATGCTATATGACACTATGCAATGAACACTCATACTGAATGTATTCAAAACTGATTACAACAGTTCAAATCCTTTTATTTATAAAAAATAATGCTATTTAATAACTTTGCCATTAAAGATGAGAAGTTGTTCATGCACAAAAAGTTCTTGACCAAAATGTCATACATGTGGAAAGTATCTTGGACTCTCTTGGTTGAAACCATGCTCTTGGTGTAATGGCAATTTAAGTCATTTCTACTGCATGAGGCCAGTAAACAAAAATAGGTATATTGGCAAATACTTATGCAAAGATTGTCAAGATATATACTTATGCAAGGAGAGTATGTTTCTTGCATGGATGAGAGCAAATGCCAAGTACCCCGAGGAAAGGGATTTAACTTATGCTGAATTCCTTTAAAGGTTTGTCTGGAAAGCCAAAAACAAGAGAATTTGTACCTCGGAAGCAGGGGTTTGCAATAGGCCATCTAACGTATGTGCATCCGAGATCAGGAAAATCTTATTATTTGCGATGTGTCCTTAATTTGAGGCGTGGGGATACAAGCTATGATGATCTTAGAACTGTAGATAGATTTACTCATAATACATACCGCGATGCATGTTTCGCCTTAGGGTTGTTGGACGGTGACAAGGAGTACGTTGAAGGATTTTTGGAAGGTAGTTATTGGGCTACAACATGGTTACTCAGAAAGTTGTTTGTGATTTTATTGGCAGCTGATACAATGAGTAGACCAGAATATGTGTGGGACAAGTGTTGGACATTTATGTCAGATGACATTCTACACAGGCAAAGAAGAGTCTTAATACATCCAGGTCAGTTCATATATTAGACATACATATATCTTTACACACACACACACACACACACATATATATTCAAAACCATACATTATATATTACACATGTTATTTGATATTACTGTTTTGATGCATGTAATATCAGATTTGAAGTTGACCAAGGCTGAGATTAAGAATTATGCATTGACTGAAATGGAAATGATGTTGAGGAGAATTGGTAGGACTTTAAAGGACTATCCATCAATGCCATTTCCAACTATAAGTGATGATGTCATGTATCAGAACAGGCTTATTTTTTGACGAGTTGCAGTACGATCGCGCTGCCCTGCGTGAAGAGAACAACAGATGCATGCAGAGTCTCAATGATGAACAACGTCAAGTGTACACAACCATTATGCAATCTATTGAACAAAATAATTGTGGGGTGTTCTTTGTATATGGTTATGGAGGTACAGAGAAAACGTTTGTGTGGAAGACGTTGTCGGCTGCTTTGAAGTCCACAGGAGAAATTGTTTTAAATGTTGCTTCGAGCGAAATAGCAGCTTTGTTGTTACCAGGTGAACGGACCGCACATTCACGCTTTGCAATACCAATCAACCCGAATGAAAACTCCACATGCAACACCTAACAAGGTAGTCCACTGACTCAATTGATAATTCGATGCAAACTGATCATATGGGATGAGGCGCCGATGATGCACAAGTATTGCTTCGAAGCCTTAGATAGAAGTTTGCGAGACATCTTGAGATTCACTGACTCAAATAGTGCTGAAAACCCCTTTGGAGGGAAAACGGTGGTCTTCGGGGGTGACTTCAGACAAATTTTACCTGTCGTTACAAAAGGTACTAGACAAAACATTGTGAATGCCACGATTAATTCTTCGTATATTTGGCATGTGTGCTTGGTGTTACGTTTGACAAAAAACATGAGGTTGCAATCATTGACTGATGATAGTGAGTACGAGGATTTGCTTGAGTTTGCTAAGTGGATTTTGAGTTTGGGGGACGGGATTGCTGAGGAAGATAATGATGGTTTTGTAAATGATCAGATTTCAAAGGAGATTTTGTTAGAGTGTGGAGGCGACCCCATTGCCACTATTGTCCAGAGCACCTACCCAAACTTTGAGAATATTGTGAATGACCCGAATTACTTGCAAGAGCGTGCAATTCTAGCTCCAACCTTTGATGTTGTCGATGCAATCAATGAATACATGACTTCTATGAATGTTAATGAAGAGTCAAGGACATATCTAAGTTCAGATAGCATTTGCAAGTTAGACTCGAATGTTGATTTTCTGGCTGATTTGCATACTCCAGAATTTCTGAACAAAATACGTGGATCTGGAGTTCCAAACCATGAGTTAACCCTAAAGGTTGGTACTCCAATAATGCTTTTAAGGAATATTGATCCTTCCATGGGGCTTTGCAATGGAACAAGGTTAACTGTAACAAGACTTGGAAATCATATCTTAGGGGCAAAAATTATGTGCGGAAAATACGTCGGCCGTGAAGTTGTCATTCCGAGGTTAAGCTTAACTCCTTCGGATTCAAGAATACCATTCAAGTTTTAGAGAAGACAATTTCCGGTCATGACTATAAATAAAAGTCAGGGACAATCTTTGTCTTATGTTGGACTTTTATTGAAAAAGTCGGTCTTCATGCATGGTCAGCTGTATGTTACAGTGTCAAGGGTAACAAATCCTAAGGGTCTGAAGATATTAATCTGCGATGAAGATGGCCAATCAACTAACCATACCACCAATGTAGTTTATAAGGAAGTTTTTGTAATGTGTAGATTGTGAAACCCTGTTAACGTTTACTGTTTCCTACTTATTCCAAAACATACTTACTACCTATCTCTGCGTTTTTGCTATCCAATCTTTAATTATGATTTATTATACGTGTGAAGTATATGACAACCTGCTTTCATTTCACACAACCAAATAATGTTCTCTAATAATGTCGTATCCATGTTACATTTTAAATTTCCGCGCATCGCGCGGGTGAGAATCTAGTTTTTTTATAAACTTCAGCTAAGTTGCGAAACAAAAGGTTCACCCAAAAACGCTGGATTCTCTGCCCAGTCCTAGTCTAATTAGTCGATTGAGAGTTTAGCTGTTTGGAATTGGGAAATTACAGAATAGGAATTGGAACTTACGATGTGCTTTAGTGGTCCGGCGGTTCAATTTTCAACTATTAAAATTGAAAAAGAGAATAACTAAACGTTGTTCAGATGAGGCCTCCATGAAATGTAAGGTCCTAGGCAAGTGCCAGGGTCAACTTCCCCAAAAGCCGGCTCTATATCCTACACATTTATTATAAAAAAAATAAGGAGTCCGGATCCAAGTTCAGGTAATCACAATAAAATATAGATCCATTCCCGTTATAAAAAAAGACTTGAGTCGGGTTTGTGGGTCTGGGTGTAAATCAGGCTACTTGATAGGCTTAGCTCCAACTCTCCATGGATATCACCCACATTCTGCGAATCTTTAAATGTGGTACTTGTAAGTTGTAACTATGCACAAAACTTCTAAGCAATTTTTTTTTTTACTCAAATCATAAACATTTGTCCAATAGCGTCATTTGATGCATTAATCATAAGCTTGTTTAAGAAAAATTATCACTTGATTGGAAATAAATAAAAAGATGACTATGAGGAGTTTGAGGGTTGATGTCATGGATCTACCAAAACTGGCCACGATTTAAAACTCTCCCACTTTCCCAATACATGACTTAACTAGTGTTTTTTCAAATAATTTTTAAATCTATAAAATTTAATTAATTTCATGATTAATAATTACATAATTAATTTTTATGGACTAATATACTGTTTGGCTTGAGCCTATATAACCTTAACCTCCTACTTGTTTTCTCCAACCCTAGCCTCTAGCTTCCCACCACTCATGCACACCCGCCTGCCGTTGTTGCCCCGCCACCTACCTTTGCCGCCCCACCACCGCCCAGCCGCTGCCTTGCCGTACATCCGCCTACTCACCACCTCCGTCCAACTGCACAACCGCATGCTCTCCTCCTTCGTACGTCCAGCCTGCACACGCCACTGCCGCCGAGCCTGCTCTGGTCGTCGTCTTCCCGCCGCACAGTTGCCTCGTGCCTCCATCAACCAGCGTACTTGATCTCTTTCCATTTGAGATTAAGGTTTGTGGAATTCTTCTTCTATTTTATGGAAGTTAATTATTTCTGGTTTTTATTTGTCCGTTTTTTTATTCGGGCTAGTTAAAAATAAAGATTAGATTCGAGAACATCATTCGAATCGGGTCAGAGTCGGTTTTGGATTCAGTTTTTCCCCACTAAAGCTCAGGGGCGGATGTATGGTATGTTCAATGGGGGCACATGCCCCCAATGAGATTGAAGTAATTAGTTTAAAACTCTTGTTCTTTATTAAGTGCAACGTGAAATGCCCCAATGAAAAAATTGTATGACCCCATTAATTGTGCCTTACCCAATAAGTAAAGCCTAAAAACTCAAAAGCTGCAATCCAAGAAAGAGTAACTCAATTAATACTCCCTAAAAAAAATTGTACTTTCTTTTGTGCCACGACCTCACATCTCAAATTCGCAATATCCCATTTTGGAATTTAATCAATTCACTCCATTTTTATTTTGAAATAATTACATATTTATCACTAAAAAGAAGACAATTTATAAACGTGTGATTAATGACTAGAGTAGTACGGTAATGAAACTATAGTCACTCATGTTCATTTTTTAAATTTAAGTTACTATGACACTACATTATGGTAACTAATAGTCATATTTATGTAAATAAATTTTATTTTAGTAATATTTTTTTTGTAAAAAAACTCTATTATTTTTAAGTCTCTTATTTTACTTCTCAAACCTATTAATATTTTGAATTCTATATCTAACTTTTGTCAAATTTGAGTTTTACTTGGCGATTTTATAAAAGTTGTAAGAGAAAATCGCACTTTTAGTCCTTGAAATAATCACAATATTGAAATGTCAGACCCCGTGTTCCCGAGTTTGTAAATGTCACCTCTCAATGACCAAATTGATATAAATGGAGTCCTTTGAGGGTTGAAATGTACACTGTGGGTGAGAAGTATATTTCACCCCTCAAAGAACCACATTTACAACAATTTAGACAATTGAGGGGTGACATTTACAATCTCCAAAATACGGGTCTAACATTTCAATATGGTGGTTATTTCAGAGACTAAAAGTGCGATTTTCCCAACTTTTGATGTAGTTTTTGAATGTGTATATTTTAGGGGAAAGTACGGAAAAGGTACTTGTAGTTGTGTCCGTTTTCAGATATGGTCATATGTATATTTTAGGGGAAAGTACGGAAAAGGTACTTGTTTGAATTTTGTTATCACAAGAGGGTCACGCCGTTAAAAACGTCCGAAAAGATCGTTAAAAGTAACTTGAATTTTCAAAAGTGCCTGAAAAATTAAAAAAAAAAATACCGGAAGGTGCGCCTCAGTAAGACGACCGCTAGGTCATCTTTCTTTTCCGTTTTTAGCCACCCTTGTCACCGGAAAATCCACCGGAAAAGTGATAGTAGCGAAATCATTTTAAAAAAATAATTCAAACTGGTCTGAAAAATCCAAAGGCGAAGGTGGTTTGGAGGTCATCTTGACGAGGCGCACTTTTCGGTAATTTTCATTTAATTTTCCGGACACTTTTGAAAATTGGAGTTACCTTTAACGGTCTTTTTCAGACGTTTTTAACGGCGTGACCCTCTTGTGATAACGGAATTCAAACAAATAAACCACTTTGATAAAGAATGAAACACATGAGGCCATCTGAAAACGAGCTCATCCACGAGTACGTTTTCCGTACTTTTCCCTATATTTTATTTACTAAAAAGAATCATATTATTAACAGGAATCCGTTAACGCGATAAATCAAACATCGTGAATCGAAACGCGAGTCTTATTGTGGGTTGGAGGGAATAATATTTTTTATTTTGCTATTACTACATAACTTCAATTAATTTTGTAGTTATTTTATGATTATATAAAGAGTAATTTTTTCTTACTCTATCTTAAGGAGTGCCCCAATAACAAAAATTTCTGGATCCGCCCCTGCTAAAGCTATGTGTAACTAGATGAAGTACCCGTGCGATGCATGGGGTATATCTAGAATTGAATAGCCAGTAATTTATGTAAAATTATGTTTTATGATGGTATATAATGTGTAATTTTTCATATAAAAAAAAGGCGATAGGATTTATATGATGTAACTTTTATTATATACGTTGGAGTAGGTATAACAAAATAAAATTTTGGATCGTATCATAAATTGAAAAGTAAAATAGAAATAAATGATACTCCGTAATATATATTAAAAAAAAGCTTTATGTGACAATTAAATAACTTAGTAGTAATTGTTAGTGAGTGTCATGAAACTTTATATATACATAGTAAATAGAACAATCATATATGCTGACGATGTTAAAAAACGGTTCATAAAATTTATGAACTTCTTTATAGATCATATTATTGATGGTGTAAATAGTACGATCCTCATCATCACATATAAGAATCTTCATCTCACTCATTGAGATGACCCTTGACGTGACAACATACAATTGACTATACACAAAAACATATCTCGCAAAATATATTTCCACTTCATGCAGAGATTGTCCTTATCTTTTGTTTATTATCATGTCAAATGAAACAACGATTGAGAAATGCTTGTGTCGATATTCGCAAGGAATTATTCTATCTGACGGCACCAATGATAGTCATTGAATAAGAGTGAAATGATAAATTAATAATTAATTAAGTTCTTATTATAAATGTATTGAAATTCTCTTTCAACGTGTATGGTATCCATGTATGATATGCGTGAAATACTCTTTCATTAAATTAACGAAAAATCTATAAAATCAGTCCAAAATATCTTTTAATATGAGATTAAACCCATTACCATTTCATGAGGGGGTGCATGTGTGTGTGTATATATATATATATATATATATATATATATATATATATATATATATATATATATTCTAACATTTCACATTAATTCATTTCCGTTCCTTTTCACTTCCAACATAAACATTTTGTATTGAATATTATTTAATCAATCAACAGCTCAATACATGCATAAGATGGAAATAAATGCTCCATTCTAAATTACTTTGGATCTACACTCTTGGGCGGGATGCATATATATTCTAGTGTTCTACATTAGTTTCACACTAATTCCCTATTACGACATTAGTTTGGGTGGGTTTTCCCCCCAATAGTTGCCCAAACTTTGTTACCTTATATTTCCTCGGTTCATAACTAAATAAGCGCGCAACATGTTGAATTTTACACTACTCGCATGTTCTACTTTGACTATGTTTTATACATTAATATTTTCATAAATTATTTTGTAAATGATGATGTTAAATTTGTTCTTATTGTACATTATCAAAATAGGTTTTTTTACTAATAGAGAATACTACTCTCTACGTCTCGCTAAAATTGTCTCATTTTACCTTTTCGGGAAATTTCATTAAGATTGTCTCATACCAAATTTGGTAAAGCTTGTGTGTTTCTAAATCTTTTTTACTTTATTCTTACTTGATCAATTGAATATCAACCACAACCACATAAACTTACTTTTCTTAAACATGTCACCCCTCTTGTGTCAGTGTTAGTGAGACGAAGGTAGTATATATAATATATTACTCTGTAATAGTCAAAGTCCTACATCAGCAAACATGAAAAGTAGACTGTTGCACTTAGAAGTATTATATAAATATAAAAAAAAAGATAAAGATGTTGTTTAATAATAGAAAAAAATGTCTTGAATATGAGTAAAAACGTTTTGAAATTCTAAAATATGACTTTCATGTTATTATTACCTAAA